GGAGTGGTGTGGCCTTTGCCAATAATGCCTGGTACAAAACTATGCCATGGAAGGCGCAGTCTCCCCCTGCCCTAGTGCTTGCGTCCCAATGCCACCCGTGGTGTTGGCAGGCTTGTGCAAAAGGGCCTTCAAAGCCCCGCGATTCAGACCCAATCCATGGGCGGCTCTGGTAAGGGCCATGGAAAGTGGGCGCCCATGCTGGAACAAAGTGGCTGTTGTGGTGAAGTAGGAGGAAGACTTCTTGGCCAGGGCCTTCCTCCAGAAAGGTGGCGACGGTCGTTTTTAAAATATACGGTCGTTTGAAGAAACAACCAAAAAAAAGTGGTCGTTTCAGGTTGCAGGTATCTAATATAGTATACTACGTTGTAGTAGGAAGTATACGAGTAGTAAGTAAGTGTGTTTTGAAGGACCAGGTTAGTGGCACATGCCTGGAAAAAAAGGCACCTGAAAGCACCTTCGTTTCAATTGGAACCACAGGCACCGCCCAGTTCCCTTCCACAACCACGAGTATACAAACCCATGAGTTGAACTCACGACCGGAGGATCGGTGCACCATGCGCTTGCGCTTGCGCCACCCCAAGATAACGACCAATACTGCACCCGTTGGGGCTCCAGTCGTAGCTTCTGGACCTGATGGACCCTTCAAACCCACCCACCCCAGGTCACACCTTCTCAGAGGGTAGGGGCAAGTGGCTGAGATCGAAGGAAAGGGCCAATCACGGCTCCCTCCCTGCCACCGGCCACCGGCCACAAAGCCCGCCGCCGCCACCAAGCGACCGTGCCGGCACACAGTTTATGCAGAACCAACGACGTGATCAGTTTGAGCGCACACTGTGAATGACAACTGTGTCCTGAAAACTAGGGGCTACCACTACAACCACCACTACAACTACAACCTCAACCCAGCAAGGCGCTGCCATTGAAGCTGCCAACCGCATGCATGGAGGTGAGGGTTTGCAGGTTTGCCTAAAGGTGATCTGGTCCGATTGAATGAGGACCCACATATACCTTGGTTCTATCCTAATACCTGTAACAGTGGATGATGATGGTTGGTAAAGGCCTTGTTCAAAAATAGTATATAATGGTTTACTGACAGTTACAGGTAATAGGACAAACCCAACATATATATATATACCCATATACTGAAAGTGGACTCCTACTGAGTGTACTGAGTTCTGCCAGCGTAGCCAACGCGCAGATTGGTGAAAATGACGTCTGGGTCACTTTTGAACACCAGTCCATGGTAAGCCCATGGGCAAAGACCCCCCTGCCGGATTCCCCCTACGAGTATATAGGTAAACAGCCAAACACGAAGAGCTTGTTCTATCCTGGCTTCTGCACATTCTCTTCGCCGAAAACGAGGTTTTTGTAGAGCAGGCTCTGATCCTGACCGGCAAAGAGTTCATGCCAGCTGAACCACCACACCAGCATGATCATCTTATGCGCCCTTTCCTGCATGAAGGACCCCCAGAATCCACCAGTCATTCACCAAGACACGGTCTCCCATGTCACCTTTTCCATTCTACCCCCTGAAGAACTACCAAATAAACAACGCCCCGCTCTTTTCCGAGGCCAAGCCCTCCACTCCCCCCCTGTTTCTGAGCCCTTTTGTCCTGGGTGAAGAGGCGACCGAAGCATCTCACGGTGTTCCCACACGATACCAGGTCCGTCATCCTCCGCAGCCAGTGAGGATGGATGGGGAAAGTTCGAAGGACAGAAGTTGGACACGTACGATTCCCGTTTGGTCCTGGCCGCCCCCTCCGCTTTTCGAAGGTGGTTGGGGTGAGTGCCCCCCCCGGAAATGGGGTGGGTGCCGGGGGGTCTAACCACCTGAGGATATGGGCCAGGAGCGCTAGGGATTAATCTTTGCAGAGTTCGTCCCAAAGTCTGCATTCAGTTTTTCGGACCATGTACGTAGACTTCAGAAGAGTTTTCAGAGAGGCCTCCATGTTGCCTAAATATTGCACATCGAAGCACTGAATTTCAGTCTATACTTCAGTCTATATAACCTGGCTACCTCAACCACTCACTCAACAAATCCCATCTCTACCCTCAGAAATTACGCATGGAATCTAGATGACGAATCTAGTATGTCTAGCACCAGAAACCGTGGGGCCTCAGGAACCAACGCTCCGCACCCCATGGACCACCCCGGGTGCGGGCTCGGCCAAGGGGCGCATCGCTCGCATTGGCGCATTCCTTCACGAAGAGCGACTGCTCTGTGGCCAAGGTGGCCTCGCAGTGGGCGAGAAGAAGCGTTTTTTTTGTGTTCTTTAGACATCACCACGCGAACCAGCGAGCGAGCGAGCAGGCCGAGCGAGATTGGAAGCACATGTTTCAAGTCTCAACGTTCTTAACCAAGTTCAGAACTAATTTGGCAACTTGGTAATTCGGCCAAACTTTGTGAAGCGATATTGATGGTGCCAGTGAATGGCTGGAGACAGAGGCAAGATCCCGCCAGATCCTTGGAGGTCAAATCCCATCCAGGAACCACTGCCACCGGCGTACTGTCGCCATATCAAAAAGAAAAAACATGCGTACTTCGTATCCCAAACACCACCTAACACCACCTAACACCATGCTTCTTTCAGGTCACGCCTTGAAGTGTCCGAAGTCCCTGACGAGGCCCTTCATCGTGGGATCCTTGGCCTCCTGAAGATCTCGCTCCGATCCGCGCTGCCGCGCTGAGTTCTCCTCCCGTCGGATCCGTCGGATCCGTCGGACGAGTCGACCGACCTCGTTGGATCTCTCGATCGACCGACCTCTTGGGGAGTGGCGACGGACGACTCCGAGTGGTGCGGCTCGCAGACGTTGCTGGTCGTCCTTTTGGTCGGAGAAACCGCAGGACCAATCAGCTTCCAAGCTGAGTGGAATGCGACGTCTCCGTTTGGATTCCAACGGGCGTGCTTCGGCCCAGCTGGAGCTGGACTTCTACTGCTATCTTGCAAATACACCACCTGGATGTTGCTAGCCTCTAATTGTGGTAGCAGTGAGAATCCAGCAACATAAAGTCCTTCATGTCAAAAAAATCTTTGGAGGAACCTGAAAACGCGTGGGTCCCGGGTCATGTGATTCTGGCGCTTCTCAGGTATCTTCTGGTCAATCTAAATCCCATCAAGTTCTGTAAATGTATTCAGTAAATCATGTAAATATGGATAAATATGGTGGGGAGACCAGACAGCCCGTACTGTTCATATGGCCTCACTGACTGCTAGGTTTGAGGAGAGGTGCTGTGAATCCGCTAAGGCATGAGGAGATAACGTTGCAGTATTGCTTGCGTAAAAGCAAAATGAAACCTTGATCTAGCCCAATCTGCAAAGGTTGCAGTGAATGCTCCCAAAACGATTTCTATCACCTCTGTCTCCGGACCTCTCTATGAACCCGCTTCCTCTGCTTGGGTTCGAAAGCTGCGAACCACGGGCAGCAGTACCAGGCAAAAGACCAAAAGCATCATCTGAAAGTAGAAGACCTGGGGCGTTGATGCGGCGGATTGCGGCGGTATTGATATCAAACGATCGAGTCATGTTTTGGGGGGGTTCAGGACCCGGGACCCCAGCTGAGCTGCATCGTTTGACATGGAACTTGCCACAGGCCGGTGAAGTTCGACCTCAACGACACCCAGAGTTCGACGGAATTCCATCTTGATCATGTGTCTCGTTGTAATTACATGTATATATATATATATTGGTGTATTTTTCACTACGGAGACTTCTCAAAGATCTTTGGGGAAGTATAAACCATATCACTGCAAGGGTGCATCAACGTTTCCTTACCTGGCCCCTCCCCAACCAGCGTCCCGAGCGCGCACGCGAGCGCGGCCCCGGCCTGGCCTTTCCCAAAAGCAAACCCACACCGTGACCAGGGTCGTCAAACACGGGCGTGGGTGGGGGGGGGCCAGGACTGGTTGGCAGGTGGAAGGGACTGGTTGGAACGGACTCGGCACGCGGAGCTCGCTGGGCTTGCGGAGTGGGGAAGGCTTCACCCTTCCGGCTCCTCAACCCAAGGAGGGACGATGAGTTTTTCAGGGTGAGGAGCAAGGTGCGACGGTTTGAGTTGGTCAGGCCACCCAAGTTGAAAAGTGAATGATTCCGTCAGTATATTGATTCTCCCCCCAAAGTCGTGGTCAGGTGGTAAGCCTTTGTAGGGTCTGGTGATGGTTTGCCTGGCAACGGATGGCAAGCGTCCCAAAGTGCCACCCAGCTGCACTGCGAAAGGTTTCACACACCACGAAGGAGAACACGCACGCAAGCGGCGCAGGCGGCCCTGTTCACGCAGACCGTCTGAGCCGCAAAGTAGCAAAGATTCCAAGCAGGCGAAGGTGATGGTGAGTGGTGTCCGCACACGAAGAACCCCCCATGGACTAAGTGGAACTTCATTTTCATGGCACAGCCCTGACTGTTTAGCTTCAAGCTCCGCCGTTCCAACGATCGAACAGGTCAGCTCTTCAACTCAATGGCATCTTCAACCGGAGGTTCTGACCAACCCTGGCGCCAGCTGCGGCGGAAGTTCTGAACGTTCTGAGTCGTCCCGTGGCGTCCCCCGTCGTGTCGCTTAGGTTATGAATGGTTACGAGAGCAACTATAAATCCCTAGGGCTCCTGGCCCAGATCCTCAGAATGTGGGGCCCAGACCCCCTGGCAAGCACACCCCAGCAGCCTTCTCAGGAAGTAGTTGGAGCACTAGGCAATTAGAAGAATGGACTTGTTTCATCTTGTTTCAAGGAATGTTCAATCACCTTTTCCGAGATTCCTCAGCAGTGTCAGTTGTTTTTTCAGGCCGGCGGCCACGTACGAGGTGAGCAGTCGTTTTGGGGAGAACGTGGCCTGGAAAAAGGCGGCCACTGGAGTATGCACTCCCAGTGTCGCATGGGAAAACGCTCCCAGTGTCCTGTGGCCAAACTCTTACCAAACAAATCCAGAAACGGTCGCGACCGTTTGGTGCGTGTTTTCCGGGGATTCGATCTCGTGCCGCAGCGGCGATAAGCTCTAAGCTCCCCCTGGCCTATAAGCTCCTTGTACTCGTTGTGACACTCGGTGTACTCTAGCTTGTTCTCTTCCTGCGATCGATTTAGAGGAACCTCCCCATCGGGTCCAGTGCCCGACACGGCGAGTGCGTGAAGCCAAGCCCCAAGGCTTAGGGTGGTCGGTCATCTTCCAAGTGTCCACCCTGTCATTGCTTGCGGCTGCAAGCTACTAGCTGGCTTGGTCCATGTTCAACTCCCAGAAACCTGGCCTTTGACAAATCCTTTCGAAACCATTTGGTGACTGCGACGCCTCCGGTTCAATGGCGCCACCAATTCCTGGTGAGAGTCTGATCTGCTATCTAACCCAAATGCTCCGTGTATGCCTACATTGACCCCTGATGTAAATCGAGGTAAATAGGTCCATATCGAGTCTATCATCCCAATACACCAGCTAACAGTGAATGATGCTTTGTAAACGGCTTGATACTTGTTTACTGACTGTTACAGGTAAATAGGTCCAGACCCAAGATCCAATCAGATGGAGTCTCAGACTCTGAAAACCCCCAAACCGGTACCCCTTACCGCTCCCTTTCACACGTCCGTTCGCCAAGGACAACGGGCGAACGGACGCTTCCCCGTTGAACGGACGTCACCGGCGTCGCGGTGGCACCTGATCCTCGAAGATGATGCACTGCTCATCCACAAACTGCGCAATGGGCGCAGACCAAGTGGGCGACCTGCGTGGGGTCAGCCCGAAGAGACCGAGCCCAAACTGCCGGAACAGAGAACCAAACGCTTCAAAAGAGCCGAGGTTTGTGTGGGGGCTCGTTTTGCTTTGGCGAGCTGCTCACTGCTGACATGGCACAATTGGACTTTAAGCGTAAAGTAAAAATGGTTTTCTGGGACTTTCTGGTACTGGCCGGCCATATGGCTGCCGCTTCACGGTCTTCGTTGGCACATGTGGACCGATGTCAAGGAGCCACCCCGCCATGGCACAAAGGAAGACAGCAAAAGCCTCCAGCACGGAGAGGGTGGTTGATAGAAACCCCTTGAACTAGATGTATTTCCTTCCAATAACCCATGGGTGGTGCTGGCTAATCACTGTTCATCTACTTTGCGCTTCGTCCACTGACTGATGGCCATGTTTCACTGCTTTTATGTCCATCGACCACTGGGGGTTTCTCGAAACAGAGATCCTCAAGTACATAAACCCCTGAGAATATCCTGAGAATAGTAAGAATAGATATCCAAAAACAGTTGCATTCGTCAGTTGACTATTCAAAGCATAGCAAAAAGATAATATATATAATATATTATATATACACAAAAAAAAGAAACTGAGCTAGGCAAACCAAGAACCTTGAGGAAGAGCCCTTTCACCAAGTCTTTCGGGAGAAAAACAAAAACAAATAACCATTGAACCAAACCCTTCGGCGTTCCACAGCGACCCAGCCCCGACCCAGCCGACCGCACTTCCTTTGAGCTGAAGTCGTGAGCTGAGCCACGGGTGCGAGAGGAGGCCAGAGGCCGTTTCCAAACGCTGGAGGTCCAGCTGCATGGAATGACTTAATATTATTAGATAATATTGCTATATACAATTGGAGGATCCTCAGGAGCTGCATCCTGGAGGAGTGGTTTTTGGATGCTTTTGGGGTTGAGGGTGAGATGATGGGTTATGATGTTGAACGCCAAAGTATCAAACTCCTCTGCCAGGCACCCCTTTCCAGCAGGAATGAACATTCGAACGAATTTCATCCTCTTCGACTGTTCCAACATGTGACTTTCCATTCTGAAGATACCTGTTTGATCCTTTTTGATTGGAACACATTGGAACATGTTATCTGGTTGGTGTTTTCAGCCCACTTGAAACATATGAGTCAAACATAGTCAAACGGTCCAATCATCCCCAAGTAAGGGTTGGAAAATAAACATATCCGAAACCGTAACGAATCCATGTTCCTCCCAGTCCCTCGGCAACTGCCGGGTCCCCCCCCACCGGGAGGGACCGAAAATGGGCCGGTGATGCGTCTTTGACGCACACCGGGAAAAGGAGTCGGGTAGACTTGCTTCATTTGCAGTACCACTCATTTGTGAGGCCTTCCAAAGGAAAAACAACGGACGGTTTCGTTTCTGTTTTTGAACCAGATCTAACTCTGTACAGGATCCAGCTCGCCCAGCTGCGCACGCTGCTCTCAAGTCTCCTGGAAATGGTTCCGTGCTTCATTGGGGTGAAGAACAGATGTCCCAGGATGCCTCGACTCCCATTGATCAGCATTGGATGAGAAGCATTTAACATCATTTAACCAATGCAGGGGAGGCACCCTCTACTTGCACCCTCTACTTGATGGCGTCTGTTCCTGCTCAGTCTTTTCATGTCTTTTCGCACCGCATGGCCGCAAAGTCCCATCTGAGTTCACCATCTCCGTGGGAGGGCGACCTGGTTTTCAATCCACACCATCGACTCGGTTTTCTCACCTGTGTTTGAGTTGAACTGAGGTTTCCACTAGCGATCTAAGCGATCGAAGCGATTCATTTGGGGTTCGCACCCCACTCTTGGACGGAGAAATGGAGAAACCACGAACGAAGGCGCCTCAAGGCTTTGGAGTCGTCTCAGACTTGCAAGTTCGTCCAACAGACTTGGGGGTGTGCAATAGTGTATTAAAATCGGAACACCTCCCGGTTCGAACCCGTGGAAGATTCGGGAAATATATAAGCCAAAACCCTTTGGTTGAGGGTCACCCTATTGAAATATTGACATATCGCCCACTCGGAGTTTATTGGACACCCAAAAATCACTCAGCTTGTTGGGACACCTGCTCCCAATCCCAAAACCTACACCCAAGAACGAGATGCAAAGAAAGCTGTCTTCTAGTCAATTCAAGTCAGCCATTTTCAGAGTCCACCCTTTTGAAGAATCCCTAACACTCACCACAGTACACCACATTCAAGCCATGGCGGATCGCTAAGTGATCCCTGAAACTTGGCTGCAGCACATGCGCGGGTCCTTTCAGCCACTCATCCCGCAGTTGCTGCCTGGCTCCAAGCACCATGGAGGTGTACAGTGTATTGACAACATGGGACTGTGCCCCAGAAGTAACTCTCACCCACAATGTCCATGCAGAAGTGAGAAATCTCCATACCCGGCTATGAAAATGGTGTGTATGTATATATATACACACATATCATAGACGCCCAAACCGGAAGGCATCTGCGATTTCGCCCCGAAAGCGTCGCGGAAATAAACATAAACACACTGTAAAACTCCCCATCCGAGCGCCGGAATGCGGTTTCCAGCCCCGCTCGATGCAGATACGTGGATTGGATGGAAGGCCACATAGGATTCAAACCCACCATTGTTTGAATGGTCTTTACCAAACAACCATTGTTTTGCTAAGGATTTTACACTACAAAACCACGTCAACCATGTATAAAATGGTCTCTGAAGGCTAGGGTAAATAAACACAAAGACCCATCAAGAGTATACTTGGACCATCCAAGAGGTGTCCAATGGAGATCCACAAGTATCTGCGGACCTGGTCAGGTGACCCCGAACGGAAGGTGCTGGACTAAAAACAAACTGTTTGGTGTGTATTGCAATAGGGAACCCTCCCTGGCCCGGAAGGCTGGGTACACTGGTGAACCTGGAAAGGGGGTCGGAACGCCTGGGAGGCCTCCCTAGTGCACTATGCACACCCATATTCATATACTGCATCTAGTAGCGGGGATCTATGATGATATATCACCACCCCAAATGGGTGGTGCTGCTTTCCAAACGTCAATTCGAAGGAAAAAACACTAAAAAAACATCCATAAACATCCTCAGGAGAGGTCAGGAGGATCTATATAAACATCACCACCCGAAGCGGATGCCTCCAGCCAACACACTACTACTAGCACTTGTTACTACTAGCGATGCACTTGTTACTACTAGCGGACTTCTATTTTTCTCACTTTCCCCATCTCCGCACCTCCAGCTCCCGTGGAGCGGGACTCGCGGCACCCGCAGGCGGGACTCGCTCGTCGGCGCCGAACTTGGAGATGCGCTCGTCGGACATCATGTTGAGCTCCGGCGCTAAGAGCTTGGTATAGCGGTCGAAGTAGAGGGACTGCCGGGGAGGCTGACAACAGCAGGAAGGTAATGTCAAGTCCTAATAGTCAAATGGGAGAGAATGAGTAAAACTAAAACAATTGCAAAAATATTCCCACACCCTGAACAGTTTAATGGGTGGGACTAAAAAAGGATTTCTTCGCCAAGGGTGTTTTTCTCTTGTTCTGCTATTGCTGCCCTTCAAGATCCATTCTACTCGACTACCTACCACTGCTGCTGCTGCTGCTGCTGCTTCTACTACTACCATTACCACTACCACTACCACTACGACTACTACTACTACTGCTGCTCCTGCTACTGCTACTGCTACTGCAACTCCTACTGCTACTGCTACTGCTACTGCTACTCCTACTACTACCACTTACTTACTTACTTACTTAGTTACTTGCTTACCTACCTACCTACCTACGTACTTATCTACCTACTTATCTACCTACTTACCTACCTACCTACCTACGACCTAGGACCTACTACCTACTACTACTTACAACACTACTTTACGACTTACTACTTACTACGTACTCTGTAGTCCGTACTACTTACTACTTACTACTACCTACTACCTACTACTAACTACTAACTACTAACACTATCAGTACCAGTACCACTACCACTACTACTACTACTACTCCTCCTACTCCTACTCCTACTCCTACTCCTACTCCTACTCCTACTCCTACT